TAAACATTCATTAAGCAAATCAACACATTTACTCATAATTTATCTGGCAAATCTATATTTACCTATTAATCCTATTTGTCCAGTGGGACTTACTACAGTATAAGCATATATGGGACTGCATTATCAATTAACAAAAAGTTAATATTTAAAGGATATAAATATTTAATATATTATTTCATACACCTTAACCTATCACACCAGTATAAAAATGTCTAAGATTTTCAATAAGCACATACTTATTAATAAGATAATACTAAATATTATCTAACTAGTAAGTTGAATAACACAAATTCACTTGGTGGCAATCAAATGCTTTGCAAATACCAGAAGAATTATAGTTTTCTCACTGAGTCTTGGTATGCTTAGCCAATAAAATGCCAATGGTAAAGGTACTTTTAGAAGATATTAGAGACCCACAGGGCAATAAAAAGAATGTTTACTTTAAAGTTGGTTGATATCAGTGCATGTATGTGCATTATGATGCTTTAATTTTATATATACGAATTCAACTTTGTGTATGTGCCCAAGAAGACCAACCTGCAGAAGGAAAGCAATCGGTGACTGTTTTCCTAGAACAGAAAGGTGGGAGTGGCAGGGCATAGCAGCAAGGGAATTGTCCAGTGGGAGGACATGGTAGCTTGCTGTCTGGATTGAATGCCTTGCATGTTGTTGCCAAATTTCTCAGGCAGGATAAACTGAGATGGTTTCTCTTTGTTTAAGTTAGCTTTTAAAGCAATTTCTAACCTGAATGTCATCTGTGCCACCAAGGATGAAAACATCTTTTGAATCACGATGAGGAATTACAACGAATTCTGTTGTTTTCCAGGCATCTTCTACCTGGAAGAAAAATGTAATGGAATCCTGAATATAGTTTTGACCAACTAGCTGTATTCAAACCAAATAAGCTTATCAGCGAATGAACAGCATACAGAGCTAACAAACGTGAATGGCTCCATCTATAGCTTGTTTACACAATTATACAGAGATGCCTGGGGGTTTTGGAGAATCTGCTAAAAGGAATAAAGAGCAACCACAGTTATCTTCACCACCAACTGGTTTGTTGTTAAAAAGTACCTTCTTGAGAATAATCTCCAAAGAAGCTTCTCCTGAAGCTTGTCCAGAAACATCCTGAATCTCCTGACTATATTCAAAAGTGCTGATTTGAGTAAGTCGTTCCAAGGTTAATGGATTTTCCATATCTATTAATTGTGCGCCAACTATTTGTTCCAGAATTGCCCAGTGTCTGGGTTTCAAAAAAGGATTTCTAAGATCTGTGATAACTGGAAGCTGAAAGAATGAGAAGTATACCAATACAGTTTAATTCACACTTTTTTCCTGTTTCCAGTTTACAAACTGATTGGCTGTTATAACATAACAATAAATTATGATGGGTTGCATCCAATCTTAAGAGGTTTTCCAGATGACCAGCCCATAACACATTTAAATATAATCAGATTTGGTTTGGAGCGCTCTACCTTTTCCTTCTATGCTGACATTCATATCTGTACTATTACAGGCTGTATTTTTGAGTTTCTATGCTAACATAAATAGTTTCCTAACCATGCTAAACACTATTTATCCATGTTTCTTCCAACCTGACCAATACATGAATGTCCTTTATGCTGGTCCACAGGTCCCACTTTCAGTGCACCTGAGCCTCCAGGGGTTATGATCTAACAAAAATCCCTTAATCCCACTCCTCAAATAGAAAATAAAATAAAGTTACCAACGTATTCCCCCCACCTCCATCTCTTCCGTGATCCATGTATTTATCTAGCAACTGCTTTAAAAACAAAATACCTCCTGAGAGGCTTATGTAGGATAGTGGCAAGGGAAGACTGCTTGTAAAAGATGCATAGAAAAGCCCTCAACATGCAGTTACGTGACCAAGATAGCAATAAACTGCATAGAGAAACTCTTCTGAATGGCTGCAAGGATACTGGCATGGTGCTAAACCTGCATATGAAAGCCCTTATGAACAGTGTTGGGAAAAGAGAAGGAAGAACAGTTCTGAATGACATATTAACCAACAGTAAGATGTGGCAGTTCCATGAACATGAAGATATATACATGTGATGTATAAATAAACAAATTAATTAAAAAAAACATGCCACTGTGGAGTAGGGCAATATAAGGAACTGACTGCAAAAACTGTAACACCCTGGTTTCAGAAATTAAATTCTGAAATTATGCACAGGCACGAAAATTGAATTGGCATGGCCAGAACGGCCTCTCTTAGAAAAAAAATCTTCCACGTGGATTACAGAAGGTGCCGAGTTTCCAGATGGCAGAATGTTGGTGATAATGTGATGAATTTCTTCTGCCTTTTCCCACTTTCCCCCTTTTGGTCTCCCCTCTAAAACAACTGTAAGTACATAAAAAAGTCTCTTTTGGGTCCTCACTCTATCCAATGAAGGAAGGTGGGATCTACTAAGTTAGTATGAAATACATTTTAGTCTTGAATGTACCAAAAGACATTTTGTTTTGTATTGCTGCAGTAGGCTAAAATGGCTAACCCCTTTGCAGATCTTTAATCTATGTGGTCGGTGGAGAACAAGAATTTTAGAGCTAGATATCTGAATAAGCACTAGATCACATCCTGGCAGCAACTTTACCATGGTACAATACAACTCTTTTAACTAGCTGTTATGCTATAAATCTGACCTAAAACAGAATAAAACTATAGTCTGCAGTTTGTGCATTATTTATTAATTCTCACATCTTTTTACTCATTTCTTGATTTATTCACATATCATTTTGATCTTGCTTTACTATTACTTTGAAAGCTCCTTACTCATCCACTTCTATTCTCTTTTACTCTGAATGTAATGGTGTGAACTGAATCTGACTTGATGAATATTTCTGTATAATTTTTATTTGCTTTTAGAAACTTCCTTAATTATTGCACTTCTGATTTTTTTTTCATGTGAAAGTGTTTCTTGATATTACATTTTTGGATAGCCATTTGTACCTTTTCTTTCATTTTCTCCACCTTCTCCTTAAGTTGTGGGACAACATTATTAGTTGGCAAGCCTTTTTCCAACTGATTCACAAATTTAGCATATTTGGCAACTTGACCATTCAATAGTTCAGGATCTAAGCTATCAAATTTGCTCTATGGAAAATATGTAAATAAAAAAAGTTAATAGTTAGAAAACTTCCTTAATCAACATGTTATAAGAAATTTACTTTAAAATAAATTATAAAAACCAAATCTAATACAGATATAAGTAGAAAAAATACCAGCTTTAGTGAAGTCAGTAGGATCTTATGCATGCTTACTCAAAAATAAATCTGAGAATTAAATTAAGACCATATAAATCCTATGTATTTCTGTTTTGAAACAAGCTTACCCTATGGAACAACATTTCTCCCAAGGTTCAAAGGTAACCTGGTCCTTCCTGGACCATAAGCATGAGATGAACTCATTAAGAATGAGAGATTTTTTAATAAACTATACGGTGGTTGGCCTTGGATATTCTGTTTTCTTTTCTTTTGTTATTTTATTATTTTGTACTTTGGTCCCAGATGTTTGCTGCACTTTGTTTTGAGTTCTTTTGTTTTCATGTTTCAATACAACTATAAGCCATTTAGAGCCCCTTTGCAAGTTGGGCGGCCATATAAAACAAATAGATTAGACTACTATAACACAATCTACTTGGGGCTGCCCTTAAAATTACTTAGATAATATAGTTGGTCCAAAATGCAGCACCCCATATAGTTTCCGGATACTGTTGTTGGAAGTATATAACACTGGTTTTGCAGACCCTGCATTGGTTGCAATTTGGTTTCCAGATACAATTTAAAGTGCCAGCTTTAACCTATAAAGCCCTTTATGGCTTGGCACTTGAATAACTTCAGAACCACTTATTCCAACCAGTATTGACACAAGATTGCATAGAAAGAATCTGCTACTGATGCCACATTTTGGGGAGGTCCAGGGGGCTGAAGTGAGGAGGTGCTTTTCTGCGGCAACACTAACACTGTAGAATAACCTCTCAGTTGAAATCAGACTAGTTACATCCTTATTAACGTTTTGGAATCTTTTAAAGACAGAGCTGTTCCAGAGAGACTTCTGATTTTATCAAACCATCTTTTTTATTACTGTTGTTGTTGTTTATAGTTTTTTGTTTGGGTGTTGTTCTTTATTATCCTATAACTGTATTACTGTGGATTTTTCATTTGGTTTTATACTTCATGTAAGCTGCTGAGAGTCGCTAGATTGTGGCAGGGAAGAAATGTGGAAAATAAATAAAGCCACCACCATATACTCTCAGGTAAATTTAATTCTTCATTATGACAGACAACTTTGAAATAAATACAGTCACATAAATAGATAAGATGCAGAGACTTTAGATGATTTTACTTCACTTCTCTTTGTGTAAGAAAGAAAAATTCATTGATTCCCATCAATATTCCACTAGGTTTGCCCCACACCGATTGCCACATTTCATGCTATCCCTGAAAGTTTCATTATGTTTGAATATTACTTTTAAGGGGATAAGGGACTGCACTGAAAAAGAGAAAGGACAATTGCCTTTTCTAGACCTAAGCTGTACCATGGTTCATGGTTTGGAACATGGTTTGGAACATGGTTCTTGTAGTTTTCCTTCTTTGACAATCCCTGAGGCTTCTGGTTTCTGTGAAAAATACATTTTGAACAAAATAAACTGCAGGAATCAGCACAGTTATGGCTTATAGCTATCACATCCTCTTTTCATCTCCACAGTATGCTTTTCACTCCTAGGAAGGCCCAAGCAATGTGGTGGAACAGATGGAGTTTGTGTTTTCCAACCAGCTGTCAAAACTTCGTTAAAGCACAGGGACGGGGGGGAAAAAAAAAGGAGGAGGAGGAAGAGGGAAAAAGCTGCTGCCCA